ATTCATATACACAAGTAAGATCCTTCTGAGTCTTCTCCAGGCTAGAGTCCCAGCTCTCTCAGTCTTTCCTCATAAGAGAAATGCTCCAGTTCCTTAATCATCTTGATGGCCCTTTGTTTGGGTCTCTCCAGTATGTCCATGTCTCTCTTGTACCGGGGAGCTCAGAACTGGACACAGTACACCAGGTGTGGCCTCACCAGTGCTGAGTAAAGGAGAAGGATCATGCCTCTCCACCTGTTGGCAATGCTTTGCCAAATGCAGACAAGGGTACCACTGGCCTTCTTTGCAGCAAGGGCACAATGCTTGTTCATGTTCAACTTGATGTCCACGAGGACTCTCAGGTGCTTTCCTGGAAGCAGCACAACCCTTTGTAATATCAGACACTCTTCCCAGTTTTGGTGCTGTCTGCAAAGTTGCTGAGGGTACACTCTGCCTGATCATATAGATCATTAATGAAAATGTTGAACTGGACTGGACCCAGTATTGACCCTTGAGGTACACTGCTAGTCACTACACTTTTTGCCACTGATCATCATCCTCTGGGCCCAGCCATTGTGGTAGGTTGACTGCCAACTGCTCACCAAGTTGCTCGGTACAAGAAAGAAAAATACCACAAAATGCTCATGGGTCAAGATAAGGACAGGGAGATCATTCAGGAATTGCCGTCACAGGCAGAACAGGCTCAACTTGGGGAAATTAATTCAATTCATTGTCAATCAAATTTGGATAATGAGAAATAAAAATACATTTAGAAAACCATTCCTCTCAATTCTTGCTTCTTTGCAGGCTCAACTTCACTCCCAACTCTTCTAACTCCTCCCCCCCAGCAGCACAGAGGGATGGGAAATGGGGGTTGCAGTCAGTTCAGAATGTATTATCTCTGCCTCTCCTTTCTCCTCACCTGCTTCAGTGTGGGATCCTTCGCACAAGAGACAGTCCTTCATGAACTTCACCAGTGTGGGTCCTTCCCATAGACTGCAGTTCCTCATGAACTTCAGCATGGGTCCTTTCCATGGAGTGCAATCCTTCAGGAACAGACTGCTCCAGCATGGGTCTCCCATAAGGTCACAGGTCCTGCCAAAAAACCCTGCTCCAGTGTGGGCTCTCCATGGGCTGCAGCTTCTTTCAGGCCACACCTACCTGTTCTGGTGGGGGTTCCTCATAGGCTGCAGGTGGATCTCTGCATCCCCATGGATCTCCATGGGCTGCAAGGGAACAGCTGTTTCATCATGGTCTTCACTATGGGCTGTAGAGGAATCTCTGTTCTGGCACCTGGAGCACTCCCTTCTCCTCCTTCTTTTCTGATCCTTGGTGTCTGAAGAATTTTTTCTCACGTATTCTCACTCCTCTCTCCCAGCTACTGTTGTGCAGCATTTTTTACTCTTTTTAAAATATGCTATCACAGAGGCGCTACTAATGTCTATGATTGGCTCAGGCTTTGGCCAGTGGTGGGTCCATCTTGGAGCTGGCTGAAACTGGCTCTTTCTGACATGGGGACAGCTTCTGCTGTCTCCTCTCAGAAGCTACCGCCACAGACCCCCACTACCAAAACTTTGCCACATAAACCCAATATAGCCATTCAGGCAATTCTCAATCTATCTCAGTGTCTGCTCATCCAGCCCATATTTCATCAATTTTTCACCTCATCTACCAGGCCAGTCATTTCATTGTAGAAGTTTATCAATTTGGTCAAGTGCGAACTCCTTTTGGTGAATCCATGCTGACTACTCCTAATTGCCATCTTCTCCTTCATGTGTTTTTAAATGGTTGCTAGGTTTTGCTGCTACCTCAACTTCTCAGGAACAAGGTGAGGCTAACCAGTCTATAAAAGCTGTTAAAACTGTTTGACTCCTATAATGTCACATGTAATAATGCTGGAATTAAGACTTTTCCCCAAGATAAAGCACATTGGAACAAGTGGTAGCATAATCCTGGCTTCTAGCATCTAGATTTTTTTTTTGTGTGTGAAAGTTCTTTTTAAACCCTAGAAACTCAAAAGACTGTTACTTTTATGCATTCAAGACACTTTGGATTCTACTTAAAGAGCTGAAAAAATGGTGAAATAATAAATTTTCTAGAAACTAGTGGAACTATGTGAACATACTGATTTTGATTTAAAAATAGAAATTGATCTTCTGCCAGACATTTTTAGAGTATAATGAGACTAAAGTTAAAAATTCTTTAAAAATTAGGTTTTTGGATTGCAAAGAGATCTATCAAGTGACAAGAAGTTTATCCATAAGAGTTCAATGTCACTGTTGATCAGGTAGGAGAAAGGTAGGGAAAAGTACTGGAGCTAACTACAAATACAATAATAGGCTACAGAGCTACAAATATAGGTGTAAAGAATATAGAGAATATATAAAAGAAAAAAAGGCAAAAATCAATTCAGCATCACTGTGATACTAGAGATTAAACTATAGCCTTCCTAAAATTGATTACAGTTGTAAAATTTATTTCTGCAGGCCTGGGATTTTATCCTGGGCCTTTACAATAACTAAACTTCATATAAAAGTCATAGAGATTTAGATGATGACAAAAGTTTTTGTTTTCAAGTATTCTCATTCTTAAAGTTATCATACTCTATGTTAATCAGGCCAAGAAGTGTCTTTTGGAAAAGTATATTTCTTGTTTTGGTTCGACACTGGCCAAATGCCAGGCACTCATGAAAGTTGTTCGTTTACTCTCTCCTGCTACAGTTGGGTAGAGGAGATGGAAAAAAATTAACAAACGGCTCATGAGTTAAGGACTGGGAGAAAAAAATACTTTAACAGCAAAACAGTTTCAAATTTAAAGGTATAAAGTAAATTTATTATTAACAGAGTCAGAGGAGGAAAATGAGAAGTAAAATAAGCCTTTAAAACACCTTTTTTTCCCCCCCCAGCCCCTCCATCCTTCCCACCAACAGCACAGGAAGACAGGGCGTGAGGGGCTTTGGTCAGATCATCTTTCAAGATCTTTTTCCATTTGATCAGGGAGAGCAGTTTTTTTCTGCTATGCCATGGGGTCCCTCCCACAGGCAAAACCATCATCCCCAAACTGTTGTCGCATGGGTAATTTGTCCACGGGGTATGGTCTTTTAAGGCTAGGCTGCTTGAGTTTGAAAGCAAGGGCTCTCTATTTCTGGAAACAGGGGCCCTCTCTCTCTATTCAGGTCTCCCACTAGACCACAGCTTTCTCTAACATCCACCCATTCTGGCATGGGCACTTTTCCCACAGGCTGCGAGCGGACCTCTGCATCCCCTGTGGACTTCATGCATTAAAAGGGGACAGTTTGTTTTACCATAGTCCTCATCACAGCCTGCAGAGGAATCTCAGCTCCAAAGCTTGAAGCACCTCCTCCCCCTTCTTTTCCACTGACCTTGGTGCCGCCATGTTGTTTTCTCTCACATATCCTGAATTCCTCCTCTTCTCTGACTAGAAGAAAAACTTCTGCTTGTAGGTACCATTGTCAACAAGTTCCACCAATTCAAAGATTCTTGGAAGATCCCACAGTGCCGAGAAGTTGATCTCGTGTAGGTTCCATGTCAGAGAATTGCTTGTCATGCTTCTGCTGCTGGCCAGGCAGCCCTGCTGCCATTGTGCAGGCAGTGGCGGCTGCTGCGGCGCTGACTCTATTTAACACCTCCCTTCATGTGGGGCACTGGGAAGGGGAAGCTATCGCTGGCACTCCCGCCCTTTTCACCCACAGTGCAGTTGGCTAGGGGCAGCCAGGCAGGCAAGGTTGGCCACGAGCCACACTAGGGATGGCAGCGGCTGCAGCAAAAAACCAAGCCATGCCAAATCAACACACTTGTATATCACATGTTCTATGTTATTGTATAGTTAAATATATGTCTAGAATGACCAGAAGCTTGGATGCTTGCTTCTTATGGGAACTTTCTCATAAACTAAAATCTAAATAGCTACATAGGACATTTCTATTATCTGTTGAATAAGATCAAAATGGGAACATGCTCACATCTGACTCAACTACTTCTTAAGAGGAGCATTTTCAGAGTGGAATTTGTTGATGTTTCTAAAGTTAAAACAAAGCTTTACAATGTGCAATTTCAGACTTGAGCAACAGTTCACATGCATTGCTTTCTGCATTGAGGTTTGTCTAGTTTTCTTCTGGCTACAAAGCTACTTCAAAAGGACAAAGGTTCCAAGTTCTTATCACTAAGAGCTATGGCAGAATTAATTTTCAATTGTGTTGAAGATGGCAGGCAGAATCTTCAGCCTGTCAATGTGATGGTTTTAACATCTGACCACCCTAAACAGAACTCCTATTTGTATATTTGTCCTTTTTATCCTTTATAAAAGTTTTTGCAACTTAAATGATGAATAGAATAGAATATTTCAGTTGCAAGGGACTTTCAACAATCATCTAGTCCAACTGCCTGACTACTTCAGGGCTGAACAAAAGTTAAAGCATATTATTAAAGACATTGTTCAAATGCCTCTTGAACAGGGACAGGCTTGAGGCATTGACCACCTCTGTAGGAAACCTGTTCCAGTGTTTGACTACCCTCTCAGTAAAGAAATGCTTCCTAATATCAAGTCTGAACCTCCCCTGCTTCAGCTACTTAGTTTAAGTGGCCTTCTCAGACCTTCTGAGCTTATGAGAGGTTTGTTATGTTAAAATTATTTAAATTACTTTGTCTTCATACAAATGAATCACCCTTCTTTAGGTGATTAAACCTTTATTTTTGAGCTACTTGATTCCTGGGAAGACAAGTCCTTTGGAAAAGGAAATATTATGTTTCTGTTTAATGTAAATGAGCTTTAGATGTTAGTGGTATCATTTTTAACCAAATTCCACAAGAAATTGGTAGTTGTGCTGTGACATCTGCTTTGTGAATTTTATGTGTTGCTAGTGTTCTACATTTCCTTGCTACAATTATTCTGTTACTTTTTTCTTTTGTGTGAACTAGCAAAACTGTATATTGAGACTCAGAAATCAGGCACTTACAAAAAAGTGATCCTAAAGAATGATTTTGTATTTGATAATTTTGTAGGTACAAGCCTGTGCAGAAAGTGGACGGAGTTCCAGATAGTTTCACAGGAAGTGGTCAACAGACAGGCACATCTGCTGAACAAACTATAATTGCCCAAAGTCAACATCATCAACAGTTTTTAGGTATGAAAAGATGTTATACTGTCGTCTCACTGATAATAGAACAAAAAGATACTCATAGGAGCTATATGTTTTGTATTGCAAGACTTCTGCAGTATTTAATATTCATCATGCAGATATAAAACAAAAATTGTGCAAAAATCTATTTGCATGGTAGATTTAAAATATATTGCAATGCAGGTGTGGTGAAGACTCTGAGGCAAACTGCTCTGGCAGATGTGCTCTGGAGTCAAGGATCATGCCGAGGGACTGTGGAGAGAGTTCCTGAAGTGGCAGGACCTCAAAATTAGCACCGAGAGGTTCCTCCCAGCAGGAAGCACTGAAGCTCTGACCCAGAGGCAGCTTTGACTCAGCATGGATGAGGTCAGGAGTGATGAGGTCCACTCCCCACCCTGTAACACCCCAGACACTTAATGTACGGGGCTAAACTGAGGTTCCTTTGCTTTGGGTAGACGCGAGGGAGAAATACCAACCAGATATTCTCAAGAGGTAAAAATCCTACAAAGGTTTACTGGCAAAAAACAGAAAATCAAGAAACTTTGGCAAAACATTTAGTACAACATAAAACACTTATCATGGCATCATCTTAGCCCATTCAACTTAGCAACCTTTAAACCCATTTGATGTTACGTTCCATGAGAAGAAAGTTAGAAGAAGAAGAAAGGGAGGAAGACAGGAAAGATATCGCAAGAGTCATATAGCTACCAACTCCTGGGTTCTAGCAATGTAACAGATAGAAAATTCCAAGATGAAGGTAGGGTTAAAGAACAACATGCTTGCCTTGTGCTCAGCCTTCTTAAACCCTTGGCCCTTCATGGGCCTTCCTCCCAGGTGGGACTTCCAGTTGATCAGCCACTCAGGGGCTGGGTTAGGCAACACTTGGGGGGCTGCCTCCAGTGTGCTATGATTGACAGAGACTGCAGGGCTGGGGGGTATGAGGGGCAGGGCACCACCTCACCCGAGCAAGGCTGGACCCACCCACTACTACACACATTCCAAGCATCCCAAAATGTCTCCAGACATTGATCTTTCCAGTCTCTGACACACCCCTACAAAAGCAGCTCCTAAGGTACAAAGTAGGTAAACAGGGTGGGGTGTGGCAGTTCAGGAAGGTAGAATGCAGTCACCCACCAGCTCGAGAGGAGAGCTCAGGTGGTGGTCATTACCTTCTCAGAAGGAGCTCAGCTATGGTATCCACTTGGAGGGGAGCTATGTCCTTTGGACTTGCCAGAAAGGATGTGGTGACACAGAGCTGCCACGAAAACACGCAGCCATCTAGGTCTTGGGCTACAAGGAATGCCAGAGCCTGGCACTGGTACTGGATGGCAGTAGAGACAACAGCTGTGTGAGGTGTGCTGAAGTGGATTATCTGCTCAGCCCAGGGGCAGATCTAAGAGAGGAGGTAGAAAAGAAGTATCAGGGACTCTGAATGGTCGAGCCACTTTCTACCATTCCTGAGGCAAATGCACCAGCTGGCCACACCACAAGAAGAAAAGGATCCCTTACACTGTCACTACCAGGCAGAAGGAGGGGACCTAAGAGATGAGAGGGAATGGAAACATGTGTCTACTCAAGGCAATAGGCAAATCCCCTCCTGGCCTACCTCGCCTTCCCAGCTGCAATACAATAAGTATGAGGCTCTAGAACTTGAACACCAGGCACAGAATCATCAACGTTGGAAGAGATTTCCAAGATCATCTAGTCCAACCATCAACCCATCACCCCCATAATCACTCTTAAACCATATCTCCAAGTGCCATATCCAGCTGTCTCTTGAACACAAATACAACATGGGCACACTACAATATGGACAAAGGTCTGTCCAGGTTGGAGGAGTTGCCTAGGGTGAGTAAGTTTACCCCCTGCATCACAACTGCCTCAGTCAAGAAAAAAAGAGCAATTGTCATTGGTGACTCCTTTTTGAGAGGAACAGAGGCCTGATATGCTGACTGGACCCAACCCATAGGGAAGTCTGGTGCCTCCCTGAGGCCTGGGTAAGAGACATTGACCAAGAAACTCTGTAGCCTGGAAAAGGCCTCTGATTAATATCCATTACTGGTTTTTCAGGTGGTCAACAATGAAGTAAAAAAAAACAACATCTGAGGACAACAGACAGGAGCCCCAGGGCTTTGGGATGACTGGTTGAAGGATCTGGTGCAAACAGTTTTCTCCTCTATTCTGCCAGTTGCAGGGAATGATGAGGGTAGAAACAGGAAAATCATTCAGATGAATACCTGGTGCTGAGCCTGGTGTCACCAGCAGAATTCGGGGTTTTTTTTGATCATGGGTTGTTTTACATGACACTGAGCCCGCTGGCAACAGCTGGGGTACACCTGTCTCAAAGGGGGAAAAGGATCCTTATTAGTTAGCAGGGCTCACTGAGAGTTTTAGACTAGATTTGAAGGGAATAAAATCAGGAACACTAGAGATAAGCCTAGAGGTGGCATGCCATTGACAGATGGTGTGCTAAGGAGGTCCCTTCAGTCTGTAGTCTTGATAGAGGTAGGAGATGGAGATCCATGCAGTAGCAAGGATGCATGGGTTATTGATGTGCTAGAAACCACAGAAGCAGATGAGAATGGTCAAGCAGAAATTAGAGCTTCTCCCCCTGAAAAGATAGTGGATCAATAACACAAGTTAAGTGTATTACATCAATGCATTCAGCATGGACAACAAACAGGAGGAACTGGAAGCCATGGTGCAGCAAGAAAACTATGACATAGTTGCCATCACAGAGACAAGATAGAACTGTCATAGCATGGCGTCCCCAGCTGGGGACGCTATTAGCATTGACTCCATGATTCCAGAAGGCTAATCAATCGCTTTGTTCTACTATACTTATTAAGAAACCCATCGCCTTTACAAACAGTCCAACACAGGTTGTCCTAATTGGTCCTTTAATTAAAACCCCATCACCATTGGCTAATTAAGAAACCACCCTTTGGTAAACAAATCTCCATAACACATTCCATATGTTCACAACAACAGGTGCAGCAAGTGAAGATAAGAATTATTTATAATTTTTTTCTCTGAGCTTTCTCACAGCCTTTACCAGCACAGTGCCTGAGAAAGTTGTGCCTGCTGCTCTCTGTGGAGAGAGCTGCAGCCACAATTCACCCTTTTGTGTTTAAAGAAAAAAGGCAGTGTTTGTAGTCCTCTGCAGGGCCCTTTGCAGGAAGGAGAACAAACACAGCTCAAGAGGTTCCCTCAGCAATCTGCTGGTTGTCAATCAGAACCTCAATCAGATGCTGACTTAGAATGGTCAGGGAGATTCTTTACCTGTAGAATATCTATCATATCATTAAAACAAGGTTTACAATATTAGAAAAGCAAACAGCAATGTCTCTTTGGAGAATGCAATGAGTGATCATTGTTTTAAAGTCCAAACACTAGAGTTTCAGAAGGTCCATTATCTGAAGATGTTGATCTTTGACATCACTGAATGTCCTTCTTGGTCCTGAAACAGAGAACAGCTGAATCCTGAAACAGAGAACAGCTGAAGAAGGTTACTAACAACAATTAGAAATCAATCAGATAATGCACATAATCAATAACAGATATGACATTATATAATTATCAGGCACTATAGCACTGACTGTCATCCCAGAGTCTGCAACAGCTGATAAACCTCAAATCAGCAGTTAGAAATCATGTCCGGATATGATTTTCCAAACTTCCTTTGAAAGTAGGCTCAGCTGTCATATACATATGTGGCCAAATTGCCAAGACAAAATGACTTGAATCCTTTGGATGCAGAAAACATCTGGGTTGATTGTCAATCAATCATCCCCATCCAGGTAGAGTAAGGACCTGGCCACAGCCCAAGCTCTAATTGGAGGGTGTCATTTGACACATTTCTAAAACAGGGTTCTTAAGAAAAAACTTATGAGTGAATAAATGGTTGAGTGAATAAATGGTTGAGATATGCTTTATCTTATTTCTATATATGTTTCTGTGTAAAACTGTTATCAAATTCAGAGGTACTGATAAAATCTCTGGAATGCCATGGCCACAGCCTTTAATTCAACCACTTGGGCCGAAGGTGACTCGTGGCCTTCCAGCACATTGAGCTGTCAGTGAAGACGGTAGCTCTTTCGTTTTGGGTTTTTTTTTTTTTTTGTTGTTTTTTTTTTTCTTCAGAAGGCCAGCAGCGGCAGCGGGCCATAGGACTCAGCCCCGGTGGGTGGGGCGGGGGACCTGGCCCCAGCGGGCAGGCCAAGGGACACAAACCCGGCGGGCGGGCGGTGACTGCCGCTGCCGAGCCCACATTCATTTGGCTCGTTCCCTTCCCCCAGCTTTGTACTGGTGTAATTTGGGGCCCCTGGATCTGGGGTCCCTGGGACAGCCCATCCCCGGACGGGCGATTCACTTCTGCCTTCTCCTTCGCTGCCCGCCCCCACCAAGCAGCCAATGTCTCGGCAATCCCCCCGGCGTTTCACCCTTCCCCCGCTCCTCCCGGGCATGGGCCAGGCCACAGCCTCTCGGGACCCCGCTCGTCCCGCCCTGCGAATGAGAGCGGAACACACGGGGTGCTCCAAGGCACGGCAGGGAAGGTGCTGATTCCAGGGGAACGTTGGTCTTCAGATTTCGCAGCACGGTCGGGCCGGCGCCCAGCTGCGAGGTCACGCCCCTTCTGAGGGACAGGTTGTTGGTGCTTGCTGCTGTCCTTGTCCGTGTCCCCTGGCAACTTGAAGGGAGCAGTGGGGGGCGGACCAGCTGGGAGCAGCGAGGCAGGCTGGGGATCTTCTTCAGCGCCACAGCTTGCGTCCCAGATGGGAGCCGAGCTGGCTGGAGGCGGCGGAGCATCCCCAGCCGGCGCTGTGGGCACTGCTGCTGATGAACCAGCTGCTGGCTGAGGTGCAGGGGGGCTGGATGTGCTCTCCAGCGCGGGGGGGCTGGCCGCTGTCGCGGAACCGGCCGCCTCCCTTGTCAGCGGCGGAGGCAGCTCCGCCCCCTCCTGCAGTTCAGGGTGGGGGAAACCCAGCGGCGGGGCCGATCCACACGCCGCACGGGGCGGGGAGGAGGCGATGGTCCTTTTCGCGCTGGCGAAGGCAAAGGGGCAGGAGCGACCGTGGCTCCCGTCGGGGTATCTGCTGACCGTGGAAGCGGAGCTGCTGAAGGCTTCGGTCCTTCCTGCGCATGCGCCGGGAAGTCAGGCGAGAGCTGCTCTGGGTGCGCTGTGAGCAATTCTGCCCTCCCTCCCACGGTGCGGGGGGGGGAGGGGGGAAAGGAACCAGCGGCGGCTGTCCGTTAAAGGATCGTTCCCCGGCTGGCTGTAGCGGAGAGGTTGATTGCCGCCCGCCCGGGGGGAGGTGCACCTCCAAGTTCAATTGGGACGTGCCTGCTGAGGTGGATTCGCTTTCCCATGGGGTCCGGCCCCTTAGAGCTCTGGAAAGCATTGACCAGATCGGTAGTAGTCGAGGTACACTTGCATCTCCCCTCCTGAGTCCCTCCCAGAGACAGAGACCCAGTGAGTCCCAGGCCCGCGGATCCAGTGAGGTTTCCTCATCCACAGGGAAACCATGAATTTTGGCCCAACTGAAAAACCTGTAGAGAACCTCTTCTGACATAGGGAGTCTTATGACGAATCATAAGTTCCCACATTGCAAGAGTTTCCTCTTCTGACAGAAAATCGGATGCCCATTTCTGCAGGCACCTTTTCCAAACCGCAAGCCCACCCCGGGTCGCGGGCAGTGCTATTGTTGGGAAATCTGTTCCCCGCCCCAGCCCTTAGGCTACGAGGCCAAAACGCGGTCCCAAGGGACAGATCTTCTCCAGGAAGACTCGGGGAGAGGTTAATGTTACCTTTCCGGGGAAGCCGAAGGTGTCCGGTGACGAGCGGGCTGCGCGGGGCGCCACAGGTCCTAGCTGGGGTCTGACGGCGTCCTGGCGAAATTCCAGTGAAGTCCCGGCGGGGTCCCGGCGGGGTCCCAGCGGGGTCCTGAGGCGGCTCCACCCAGCCTGCAACTCCATGAAGGGCTGCCAGACGCGATTTCTATGAGGGGTCAGCAGACCGCTCCGTGTTCAGCCTCGGCTGCGAACTTGGCTGGATCCATTAAGGTCCTGTTTCTTCGGCCTAGGCTGCACTGAGCGTCGGGATTCACCCGACCCCCAGTTCGTCAGCCTTAGCTGCAAACACTTCGGGATCACCACTTGTCGTAGCATGGCGTCCCCAGCTGGGGACGCCATTAGCATTGACTCCATGATTCCAGAAGGCTAATCAATCGCTTTGTTCTACTATACTTATTAAGAAACCCATCGCCTTTACAAACAGTCCAACACAGGTTGTCCTAATTGGTCCTTTAATTAAAACCCCATCACCATTGGCTAATTAAGAAACCACCCTTTGGTAAACAAATCTCCATAACACATTCCATATGTTCACAACAACAGGTGCAGCAAGTGAAGATAAGAATTGTTTATCATTCTTTTCTCTGATCTTCTCACAGCCTTTCCCAGCACAATGCCTGGGAAAGTTGTGTGCCACTCTCTGTAGCCAGAGAGCTGCTGCCACAATGGAACAAGTCACACAACTGATGCAGATGGTCTTTCAGGTCCTTTCCAACCCAAACCATTCTATGATTCTATAACCTGATCTTCTTCTATGACAAGGTGACCTGCCTAGTGGATGAAGGAAAGGCTGTGGATATTGTCCACCTAAACCTCAGTGAAACCTTTGGCACTGTGTCCCACAGCATTCCCAGAGGAAGGGGCTGTTCATGGCTTGGATGGATATACTGTTTGCTGGGTAAAACACTGACTGGATAGCTAGGCCCAAAGAGTGGTGATGAATGAAGTTAAATCCAGTTGGTGGCTGGTCACAAGTGGTATTCCCCCGGGCTCAGTATTGGGGCCAGTCCTGTTTAATATCTTTAGCAGTGATCTGGATGAGGGGACTGAATGTGCCTCTGTAACTGTGCAGATGATCCCAAATTGGCCAGAAGTGTTGATCTGCTGGAGAGTAGGAAGGCTCTGCAGAGGGATCTGGACAGGCTGGATAGATTGGCCAAGACCAATGGCATGAGGTTCAACAAGGTGAAGTGTTGGGTCCTGTATTTGGGTCACAACAACCCCATGCAATGCTACAAGCTGGGGGAAGAGTGGCTTGAAAGCGTCGGAAAAGGATCTGGGGGTGCTGGTCAGCAGCCGGCTGAACTTTAGATGGCAGTGTGTCTGGGTGGCCAAGAAGGCCAATGGCATCCTGGCTTTTACATTTGCTAATGTAAAAATGCTTATTGTGTTATTGCAGTAATTGTACACTTTGTTTTGAATTCATATATTGGGGATTTTGAAGCATCTCATCTTTTGGCACAACCTTGCTGTTGCTACAATCATTGGGAACCTTTGGCTATAGTTAGCAGGTTTTTGAATTTTCCTTTCCACTGTCCCCCTAGTTGACAGTGCATTTTCCCCCCCATACCAGTATATCTGTTGGAAACACTTATGAGAAATAGTAAAAGCGCATATTGGCTACAGTTGAAAGGCTTTTAAATGTCAAGTAAATATATGCTGCTGAGTCTACTAAACCCTAACATGCATGTCAATGCAAAAGCTCTTTGGTTGATCAAAATAAAACTATTACATTATATTGATCTCTTATATACTGACATGAATATTCTGAAAATTAGTCTTATCTTTTTTTTACATACAGATACAATATGTATGTGTAATCATTTTTATCTGCTACCTCTTAAGAATAATTTAGCATCTTTTGTTTTAAAAATAGCTAGCTGGTTTGCTCACAATTTTATTGCAACTTTAAAACATATTAAGTATGAAAGACATTCCTTTTTGGGCATTATGACCTTCTAGACTTTATTTCTTTACATCATCCTTAAATGTTTTCTGATCAAACTGTAATTGGCATAATTTGCAATATCTTTCTTCTGTTATGTTGTCATGGAAATAGATGCATCTCGAGTACTTCCAGAGTTTGGAGAAGTTGAAATATCTTCTCTGCCAGATGGTACTACCCTTGAGGACATAAAATCACTGCAAAGTCTTTATCGAGAACACTGTGAGGTAAGAAAAGTCTTTTCACAGAAATCATTATTTGAAAATTCATGTCTTCTAGTGAGAATCAGTACAACAGGGTGACTAACACAAAACAGATTACAGTCAGCCTACTTGTATCTTATGTGATTCTCAAATATTTTGCTTATTCAGAAAGGACATTTGCAAACAGACCCCTGAAATTTTTCTCTTAACAGGAAAAAAAAATAACATGTAATAGAATACTGATACTGGAATGTAATCATGTGTAGCTTTTGAGAATTTTAGATAAAACAAACTTTAGATAATATATATTCAGAATTTTGCTTTTTTAATATGAGTTGAAATTGTATTAAATTATTATTTGTAATGTTTATGTTAAAAACAAACTAATTTTTTTCTTCAAGTTTTAAAGAAACAGGTTGCTTAAGAACTTAAGGCTGAATTTTATATTGAATAACGTGTTTTAAAATTATTGTTGAAGGTGCTTTAAAGCATGTAATGAAGTAACAAAATTAATGAAATAGGTTTCCTTTGTGTTTTCAATAGTGTTAAAAGTTCAGTTTAAGTGAATTCACCTGATATATGTGCTTAGGCTCTTTTCTGGAGGGTTGATCTTAGTCACTTGGCCTGATCTTAGTTTCTGGTTACACCAGTCCGGACAGCTGGAAAAATTTTTGCTACAAAGTTATTAAAAAGGATATTATATGTTTATTTATAAGCATACATTTTAATATTTTTTCTGCAAAATCACCAGGGGTAACTATACCCCTGGAAAGAATTGTGGGGAGAATCACTTAGAAGACTTTCTGCACTGATTTTATATTTCTTTAGGCAATAGTGGATGTTATTGTGAATCTTCAGTTTAGCCTGATAGAAAAATTGTGGCAAACTTTCTGGCGCTATTCTCCCTCTGCTCCAGCTGATGATGCGGCTATTATTGAACTGAGGTCAGTAAATGTATGTTTGCTTACTGTTCACCATCATGATATAACAGCAGGAGTCAAATCAACAGAAGACTTAGTTTTACATATAGGCTAAGAACCTTTTCTGATATCAATAGTTTTTCAGGTTAAATTTGTGTTGTCTGCTATTTGATATATGGGGTGTTGGTATATGTCGAACTGCAGCCTTGAAATTATTGTATACATCTATTTTTTCCTTTGGATTACTAAATTCAAAGTATCTTTTCACAATATGTTGTCTGGTCTGTTTAAATTGCAAGGACCATTTTTATCATATCTCTGCATTATTTATGGTCTGGAGCAGAGCTTTGGAGGCCATTTTCCCCCCCAGTTTCATATGACAAAGTTAGAGTTTCAATTGGATGTAACAGAGGCATCTATAAAGTTTTCATTAAATAATCTATTTCAAAATGCATTGCACTTTTCTTATCTGTATGTGAATGCATTTCCATTTGTTACATTTATTCACAACAGCAATCTGAGTGAAATAGAAAGTCGACTTCCGAAAGGAAAACTAATTACTCTGTGCAAAAATGAGTCTATTCTGAAATGGATGGATAACTGTGACCATGTGATGTACCAGGCTTTGGTGGAGATTCTCATTCCTGACGTCCTTAGACCTATTCCTAGTAAGTTAAACACAGATAACATTTCATAAGACTGTCTTTTGTTTTGTTTTATGTGGTGAGATTTTTGAGCTTCGCGAAACTTTTGGGAATGATTTCAAAAGATCTAAACATCACGTGTGTGATCTTTCCTTAACTCTGTTGACTAGAAAGGTGTACCGGAGTTGATGTAAGCATTGTATTTAAAGAAAAGCAGAGTGGATGTTTAAGTGTATTTAGGAAAGCCTATAGAATTTTTAAGAATATATTTTCTTATGAGTTATGCCTTTTTTAACTGCAAATTCTAAGTTTTTATTAAAGATAAAAATGGCTTTTTTAATATACTAGTTCTAGTCTAACTGACAGCTGTGAATGCACTATGGCCCTGAGACTGAGTTCAATAATGTCAAGACAGTCTTTCTGTTGACTTCAGTAGGCTTTAGTTTAAGTTTTTTATATATAAGTTCTAGTTGTTAAAAAAAGTAAAATGTATATACTTTGTCATTTTATTTTTGGATAATTAAACATTAATGTATTATCAGCAGCTGCTAAAACCTTATCAGTTTTGATACCTATTTAACCAACATAACACTATCAAACATCTTAAGACTTGTTTATTGTTCCAGTCTGTTATAGTTTATTTTCAATTTCCAGTATGAAGGACTCATTGGTTGATTCGAATATTATGGCAAACTAACCATTATCAGGAATAGAGCATTCTTTTATAGCATCCATGGTACTTTTTTATGGCTGCTTTTGGGAGTAAATGATTTTTAAATTGTTTTTCAGGAAGGATAAATTATTTTAAAAAACATTTATTGCATGTTTTGTATGTTGTGTTAAATCTTGAAATGTAATTATAATAACACACACACACATATATATAATATAATATTAAAATAAATCATAAAATTAATATTAGGAACCAACAGGGAGACACCTGTAAAATGCCACAAAGGAATTAAGTTGTGTTCCTCTAAAATGGTGACAAGGTTGATAGGTCCACTGAAATGCCTCTATAGCAATGCATGCAGGATGGATAACGACAGGAAAAGATGGAAGCCTCTGTGCACCTGGAAAGCTATGATTTAATACCATCACTGAAACAGTGGGACAAATCACACAACTGAAATGCTGCAATCAATCGCTATAAACTGTTCAGAAAGCACAGGCAAGGAAGAAGGGGTGGAGGGGTTGCCCTCTGTGTAAAAAAAAATTGACTGGAGAGAGCTGTCTTTGAAAACAAGTACTGAATGGGTTGAGACCTTTTGGGTAAAAATAAGGGAAAAGCCAACAAAGGAAACCTCGTGGTTGGTGTTTGCTACAGACTGCCCAATCAAGGGGAGCCTTTTGATGAAGTGTTCTTACTTCAGCTACAGGAAGCATCACACTCACAGGCTCTGATCCTTCTGGGGGACTGCCCTGACACCGGCAATCTCTCCTCCCACATCTTTCAAGACCCTGAAATTCAAGGTAGGGACTGGGAGAAAGAAGTCCTTCCCATCATGGGAGAAGATCAGGTTTGTGACCACCTGAGGAACCTGAGCATACATCAGTCCATGGGATGACAGGAGGAGCTGGAAGTCATTGTGCAGCAGGAAAACTATGATGTAGTTGCCGTCACAGAAACGTGGTGGGATGACTCACATGACTGGAGTGCTGCAGTGGATGGCTATAAACTCTTCAGAAGGGAAAGGCGAGGAGGGAGAGATGGTAGGGTAGCCCTGTATGTTAGGGACTGACTCAACTGTCTGGAGCTTAATGATGGTGTCTATAGGGTTGAGTGTTTACTCAAGAATCAGGGGCAAGGCCAACAAGACAGATATGGTGGGAGTCTGTTATAGACCACTCAACCAGGATGAAGAGGCAGATGAAATATTCTATAAACAGCTGGGAGAAGTCTTAATAATCACTAGCCCTTGTTCTTGTGGGAGACCAACTTATCAGATGTCTGCTGAAAATACCACACAGCAGAGAGGAAACAGTCTAGGAGGTTCCTGGAGTGTGTGCATGAGAACTTCTTGACACAGATGGTGAGCCAACTCAGGAAGGTGCCCTGCTGGACCTGTTGTATGTGAACAGTAATGTACTGCTGGGTGATGTCTTAGGCAAAGCGATCATGTAATGACAGTTTTTGATTCTCAGACAAGTAAGGAGGGGTGACAACAGAACTGCTACCTTGGACTTGCAGAGAGCAGACTGGCCTGTTTAGGAGACTGGTTGAGAGAGTCCTTTGGGAGGCAGTCCTGAAGGGCTAAGAAGTCCAGGAAGACTGGATATTCTTCAAGAACGAAATTCTAAAGGCGCAGGAGCAGGCTGTTCCCACGTGTTGAAAGATGAACCTGTGGGGAAGATGACTGGCCTGGCTGAACAGAGAACTTTGGCTGGAACTTGGGGGAAAAAAAAGGAGAGTTTATGACCTTTGGAAGGAGGGACAGGAAACTCAGGAGGACTACAAAGATGTCATGAGTTTATGCGGGGAGAATATGAGCCAGCAGTGTGCCCAGGTGACCAAGAAGGCCAAAGACATCCTAGCTTGTGTCAGAAATAGTGGGGCCAGTAGGACCAGGGAAGTGATTGTTCCCCTGTATTTGGCACTGGTGAGGCTGCACTTCATATTGTGTTCACTTCTGGGCCCCTCACTTCAAGTAAGATATTGAGGTGCTGGAGCATGTCCAAAAACAGGCAACGAAGCTGGTGAAGGGTCTGGAGCACAAGTCTTATGAGGAGTGGCTGAGGGAGCTGGAGTGTGGGGAAAAGGAGGCTCAGGGGAGACCTTATGTCTCTTTACAACTACCTGAAAGGAGCTTGCAGCAAGGTGGAGGCCTATACTCCCTAGTAACAAGTGATAGGACAAGAGGAAATGGCCTCATGATGCACCAGGAGAGGTTTAGAGTAGATATTAGGAAAAATTTCTTCACTGAAAGGATTGTCAAGCATTAGAGTCACCATCCCTGGAGGTATTTCAAAGACGTAGCTGTGGCACTCAGGAACATGGTTCAGTGGTGGGCTTGGCAGTGTTAGGTTAATGGTTGGACTCAATGATCTTAGAGGTCTGTTGCAACCTAAATAGTTCTATGATTCCGTGACCCAACAAGATGCATATCAGGGTCCTGAAGGAACTGATGTAGTTCACAAGCCATTCTCCATTACATTTAAGAAGTCATGGCAGTCAGACTGCATCACCAGTGACTGGAAAAAGGGAAACATTGCACCCATTTTTAAAAAGTGTAAAAACAAGGATTCTGGGAACTACCGACCAGTTGGCCTTACCTGTTACCTGTAAGATCATGGAGCATGTAAAAGAAACTTCCCAGTCTTACCATTCAGGAGAGTCTCTGGCAGTCACACTCCAAATGTCAGACTTTAACTGCTGGGACCAAAGCCTCTTCACAGCGGTGGCTCCAGTGAGCTGAAGGGAGCCCCTGCACACCTTACTCACATGCAGTCAGACCAGGTTTCCTTACCAGTTCGACCCCAGGTTTCCCATAGCAATCTCAGATGTCTCATTCCATAAAGCAATTTATTCACTGCACAGCAGCACAGAAACAGCCTGAGCTGGTGCCTCCAAGGAGTCTCGTGTATGGTCAGACTGGGTAGTTTCCTTAACAGAGCAGATCCTCCTGGAAGCTACATTGATGACAGGGGGGACATTAGACACAGCTAACATGGCTTCACCAAGGACAAATCGTGTCTGACTAATCTAGTGGCCTTGTATGATGGAGTGACTGCATCAGTGGAAAATGGGAGAGCTTACAGATGTCATCCACCTGGATTTATGTAAGGCCTTTGATGCAGTCCCCCAAAATATTCTGGCCACTTAGATGGTGTTGTGGTTTAACCCCAGCTGGCAAATAAGTACCACACAGATGCTCCCTCCCCCACTAGCTGCATGGGAAATCAGAAAAAAAGTAAAACTTGTGGGTTGAGATAAGAACAGTTTAAAAATTGAAACAAATTAAAATCTAATAATACTAATATTGTTAACAATTATAATAACAATAATAATAATTGTAATGAAAAGGAGAGAGGGAAAAAAATAAAACCCAAGAAATACAAGTGATGCACAAGATAATTGCTGTCCACCTGCTGACCGATGCCCAGCCTGTCCCTGAGCAGCAATTGATCACTTCCAGCTAACTCCCCCCAGTTTATATCCTGGGCATGACCTTCTATGGAGTGGAATATCCATTTGGCCAGTTCAGGTCTCCTGTCCCAGTCATGCTTCCTCCCAGCTTTTTGTGCACCTCACTGGCAGAGCATGAGATACTGAAAAGTCCTTGACATAGGGTAAGCTCTACTTGGGAAAAACCAAAACATCTGTGTGTTGTAAATATTATTACAGATTCACAGAATCATTTAGGTTGGAAAAGACCTCTAAGATTGAGTCCACCATTTAACTAATCACCACCTTGTCATCTACACCATAACACTAAGTGTCGCATCCAGTTTTTTTTTAAAACCTCCAGGGATGATGACTCCATCACCTCCCTGGGCAGTCCATTCCAGTTTTTGACTAGAGAAGGACTCTTGGGAGATGTGATGGTTGGTGGCTGTCTTGCCCACAGCGATCAACAGTTGGGCTCAATGATCTTAATGATTCTATGATCATGGAATGTTTGAGTTTAAAATTTTCAGTGTAGTGAGAAAAAAATATCAGCAGAGTTGTTACACTGGACTTTAAGAAACAAAAAAAGCTGTTAAGGGAGAAATATAGCAGTGTACCCTTGGAATCTGCTTTGAGAGCTTAGGGACCCACAAGTTCTGGTCAGTTTTAAAAGGTATTTAAAAGACATAGATGTGGTGCTTAGGGACATGGTTATTTGCTTTCTTCTAGTCCTCATGAACTTTCCCTGATCACCATGACCATTCAAAGATAATTGAGATTGGCCTCACAGTGAAATCAGCCAGCTCCCTCAGCATTCATGGGTGCATCTGATCAGGGCCATGGACTTATGCCTCTCCAATTTTTTTAATGCTTTCCTAACTGGGTCATCCTCTATTGAGGAGAATTTTTCTTTGCTGCAGACTTTTCCTCTGGTCTCAGAGGCTT